CACACACACACACACACACACACACACACACACACACACACACACACGTTAAAGCAGTGGTCCCCAACCACCGGGCCGCGGACTGGTACCGGGCCCGTGGATCATTTGGTACCGGGCCGCACAGAAAGAATAAATATTATATTATTTCCCTTTTATTGATTATCAGAGTCTGAAAGACGTTTTATTTAGAAAAATGACAGAATTCTCTCCCAATTTCCTCCACCTGTGGCTATTGACATGTCAAGACACTTGTCTCGGTCACATGATACGTTACCTCAAAAATGAAGCCCACAAGCTAGCGAAAATGAGTAAATAACTTTTGGAGAGCTTCTTTGCAAAGAGGAAAGGCCACTAAGGAGACAGAAGAAGAGCTACGAGAGATCTTCATTTAACAGACAACATCAGGAGTCTGATTAAATATCAGGAGTAATTCTGACGCGCCAAACCCACTCTGCAGAATATGTGGCGACAGAGGAAGATCAGCTGCTGGAGATTGTAAATGACGGTGGCCTTAAAAGTATGTTTGAGACAACAACTCTGCTGGTGTTTAGGATTAAAATCAAGGCTGAATATCCTGAGATCACCACTAAAGCACTGAAAACCCTGCTTCCATTTCACACATCCTCTTTGTGAAGGGGGATGTTCTGCAGTGACGGCAATCAAAACAAAATCACAGAGTAGACTGGACATAAGGAACACACTTCGGGTGTCATTGTCTCCCATTACCCCCAGATGGGACCGTCTCCTTGCACAGAAACAAGCTCAGGGCTCCCACTGATTCAGCGTTATTGTGAGTTGTATTTATTAATGCATTTTATATTTGTTTTCATGCCGATCATATCATTTTATTTCATAGTGTTTTTCCGCCACACCTTGAATGCCGGTCCGTGAAAATATTGTCTTACATGAAACCGGTCCGTGGTGCAAAAAAGGTTGAGGACCTCTGGTATAAAGGACCCAAAGAAGAAATATTTGACTGTGGCTGCCCACTGCTCCTAAATAGTTACAGTAGAATGGCTCAAATACAGAGAATGAATTTCCCCACTGGGAATTAAAAAGTCGAATTAAATTAAGTAGAACATGTCATGTTTTTTCAAAAGTAAGGAATATGGGAAAGTTACAAGTGTGAAGCTCATCTTGATGTTACCTTGACAAATCCCATTTTTCCCACAGCCTCCTTGTGATGGTTGTCCACCTGACAGACCAAAGCATTGCAGAGGTGCACAGCAATTCTCTGGATGGACTCATCCTGCCTGGCTGGCTCCAGGATTTTCAGTAGCAGCTGGTTGACCCGACTGTACTGGAACTCCAGCTCCTCTGGAATACTGAAGTTACACAGAGTCAAGCAGCAGTTCCTCTGGACCTGGTGTGGGGCAGGGATGGGGACACAGTGGGAGACACAGGAGGGTTTACGACTGACAACCGTCTGATGAGCAACATGATGTGGATCACAGTTGATGTGATTTGAATTTTATGATGTGATTTAATGAAGCCGCAGATAGTGAAAACTTTATCATCAAGCACATCTAATTTATATTTCTTTGATTTTGTTTTTAAGAATTTAACATTGTTATCACTTCTTCCTCATGTAAATATGTTTTTTTATACAAAAGTATTCAGTCCACAGCAGCTGTGCCCATCCAGACACTTGGGCTGGATATCGTTTGGATTCTGGAGCAGATACAAAACCATAAAGGTGCTCCAATCCAAACTTCTTCAAATGTTAGATATTGCCATACAAATAGAGTACAAATATGAGCAAGACTGTTGCCGATACTCAGTGTTACACATTTTGGTCAGCACAAAAGAGGACTTAGGTTTAATAGCATTTCAAGTCTTTCTTTTTATAGGCACGGTATTGTTCTTTATTAAAAAAATGAGGCACTAGTGCCATTGTTTAGGAGGGTGATTAAATAGATATAGACCATTGTCACATGGCTTGTGTCAAGTTTTTGGGTGGCTGTGGAGATAGAGCGGCCCTCCACTGATCAGAAGGTTAGGGTTTGATCCCCGGCCCCAAAAATTTACCCCAAATTTGAGCGAGTGTGTTCATGTTTATCGCTGCTGATGAGCAGGTGGCACGGTAGCCTCTGCCAACAGTGTATGAAAGAGTGTGTGAATGGGTGAATGCTGGCTTGTGTTGTCAAATGCTTTAAATGGTTGCTAAGACAAGAAAAGTCCATTTATTTGATTATTTGATTATTAAAACTCTGCCCTGTGACTTCCGTACTTTTCGGATCAATTATTTAGTTTCAGTAAAGCCAAACACACAATACAGGTGTTAGTGTTATGTTTCTACTGTGGATGGGATGGGGGGTTGTGTGAAGGCACGTTGTCTTACATTTGAATTGTATGAAAGGTGCTTTACAAATAAAGTCTAATTGATTGATTGATACCATCAGACAACTGCATGAGTATGGAACTGCTTTGAGAAAAAATGTCCCTTTTAAAATTAAAGTACAATACTTCACAAATAAACGTGAAGTTGAGCCCAGTTCCTCAGAGGTGGGGATGAGGCCACAGAGCAGACTTACGGTGACCTCCTGGTACTGCTCCATTCCATTTAAGACCACCTGAATGACCTCTCTGCGCAACCGCACACTCTGGTCACTGCGGTACTCTGTGTTGGTGAGGTAGAACAGAGCAGCGCTGCCCGTCACCTGGATGCTCTTATCGTATTTATGGCACTTTAATGCTGCTATGACAAGCTGAAAGGACAGAAAGGGTAAAAGAGAGGTATGAGAGAGTGGCACAGGCATAACATGCAGAAACATTCAAAGAACGACCCAAATTAAACTCATCATACTTGCAAAGCTCGGAGCAGTTGGCTGCAGTGCTGTATCCTGGCGATGTCAAACAGCTGATTGATGGCTCTGTGTGCCAGCTCAGGGCGAAACTCTGTGTAACCCTCAATGGCATTTAGGACCTGGTCTTCATTCTTTGATCCAGTCACCTGAAAAAGGCAGAGAACACACAGATGTAACCCACAAAGCAGAAGCATTATTAATATGTACACTGTACCTATTTTAAAGAATTCATTTTCCATTTCAATCACAAAATGCTGTAACTCGTTTGTCATAATGGACTGTCTGTCCATTAGATGTGATGCCCAAAATAACCATTATCAGCCTTAAACTGTAATGTGTGTGCAGCCCATCAGATGACCAGTACCTTATAAGCAGGGATGTGTGTCACATTACAGAGGGTGGTGTCGTACAAGCCCAGAAACTGCAGCGGCCTCTTGAGGTCCTGGAAAGGATAAATGCTGCTCTTGCAAGGCTCGATGCTGAAAGAGAGAAAAAACTGGCTTGTTCAGAAGGTCATTGTTCAGACAACATTTCTCTCAATATCCAACGTACACTCTAGAGTTGGTTACCCACCTTGGCCGACCCATAGCTTCTTCAAAGTGCGGAACTGTGCAGTTGTCTAGCATAATATGACCTGAGACGTCCAGTGACACCAGGTTGACCAGACGCTGTACAATGGCGGTCAGGATTTTCCTGGTCATCTTAAACTTAGAGGTCCGCCTGCTCTCCCGCGAGACGTCAAGATGCCTGAAGAATGCAGTCTTATCAATGACACATTCTTTTCAAATGATTAGTGGCCATGTAAAGGGAACACCACATGTATTTGGACATTAAAATAAATGGAAATTCAGTTTTGTCAGTTATAAAAGGTATGCACACTGACATTTCAATGGGAGCAAACATATTAGGATAAACTTGAAATCATCCAAACCTCTGCTTTAATACACTATGATTCAAAGTTGTATATCAATAAAAATGAAAAAGGAACAGAAAGATATATCTCCATCCATTAGTCCATCATTAAAGGATACATTAGATAATGCATGTACATGGCTCCACACATTTAACGGCCTTCCCCTTGTACACCACTGAAATAAATAACCTGACAAAGTTGATCCATTATGTTCACCAGCTAGTCTCTTTGTCTGTCTGAGGAAAGCAGTTGCCTGCTGCAGCCAAAAACGATACTAGCAGAGAGAGAGAGAGAACTCAAACAGTCAAGTAGTAAACATTAGCTGAAACTCACTTTCAAGCTCCAGAGGGCAGCTGCAGATTTAGCTGATAATTCTGTTTAGGTTCATCACCACGTTGTCATTTCATAATATGAAATGACAACGTGGTGTATGAAATTCATACATATTGATTACAGCTGCTGTAAAGTGACTCAAACCTCATAATTTATATCGACTGCATATTATTTTTAAGCCACATGTATCTGATTCTTCACAAAATATTCCACACCTTTAATACGATGATTTGTAGGATGGGACTTAATGCGCTGGGTGCTAAAATCTATCTTGAGCAAAATATGCATGTTTGTAAATGGACTGTACTTGTATAGTGACTTTCTAGTCTTCCGACCACTCAATAACACTACATGTTATTCACCCATTCATACACTGATGACAGGGGCTACCATGCATCAGAGCTAACCAGCGATCCTCTGATTGAAGGACAGCCGCTCGAACACTGAGCCACAGATGCCCTTTGTGTGATTGGTGGAGACGGTTTAAGGCACCAGTATCCTCCAGCAAAAGTGCTTGCTGGAACGGTCAAACATATGAAACCACCAACACATCTCCAGAGTAAGAATTAAGCCTGTTTTTTATTTAGCAGGTAAAAAATATATAATAAAATCAACCCAGCTGCAGTTCATCTGATTAGCATAAAGAGCAATTAAATAAGCTCTAATGCTGGGCTGTATGAATTTCCGTTCCCTCCTCCCATATTTTGCTCCTCTAAACATGACTGCCATAAAACACATATTGCATGACAAGCTGTGCAGCTTTTCTGACATGTTTCCACTGCAAAACCTTGGTGTGGTCTTTTAGTAAAGAAGGATAGTGCAATTTGACTGTTAAGAACTTAATATGGACAATGAAGCCTCTCAGTCATCACTTGTGACCCACTAGAGGTGTGTGCTGGTGTCTGGATCTACAGAGACCCTACCCTCCGCCTGGATTTCCTCTACTCCACCTATGTTGTTGTGTTCGGGACTCTTCTCTGCATGTAACCCCCAGTGAATCAGCAGGATGGGCAGCCCATTCTCATTCCCAGGTCAAACGCACCACGGTATGGCACTGTTTAGTGTCTGTATGATAAAAGACAGCAGCCAACAGGGTGTTTCTTCGCTGTGTGTATGTGTTTCCTCTGTCTGAATCTCTCTCTGCTGTGTGCTGCAGACACAATGAGAGCAAACAGCCCACAGCTGCATGAAGCTCAAATTAAAATTCTGCACCTTCCTACAGGTTTGTACGGAGGTTTTTGTTTGTTTGTGCCATGAAACAAAGAAAACATGGTGTTTTTTAAATTCTTCTGATTCACTATCTGACACATTTTGAAAACTGTGCTAAAAAAAAGCAACCAACAATGTGGCTAAATAGTATACCTTTAAGGTATAACGCATATTTTTACAACCACCTGCTCACCAGTCAAATGTGTGTTGTGTTTTATCACTTATCTATTTCAAAAGGCACTGGCAAAATATTCAAAGACTGAAATACCAGGGTGTGGTAAGAGCATAATGACAACTTGTACATAAAAGCCCCCTCCCTCCTTACCTGAGATTAGTGATCTCCACCACTGTACTGACCAACTCCTCTGACAGGTCCACATTGTAGAGAACAAGAGAGGCCAGTCTATCTTTCCACTGGCTGAGAAAAGCTGTCCCCAGCAATTGTACATTAGACAGATCTAGTGAGGTGAGAGACTTCAGGGGTTTGAGCAGGTTCTCAGCATCCACCTCATCAGGCAGGCCACCTAAGTTGAGCAACCTGAGGCGGTTGAAGCCCTCGAAGTTAAAGTCCGTCTCTAGTGCTTGCCTAGAAGCAGGGCTCTCCTCGTCCTCGTCCTCAGTGTCTTCATTGCAGGCGAGCGGGGCGCCGCCCTTCCTGTAGAAGATGTGGCTGCAGCCGAAGAGACAAAGAGACACCATGGTCTCACGGAAGCAGGTCAGTGTTTTCAAGCTGCGGGACGATAGACTATTGCAGTAGGTGAGGTGGAGCTCAATCAGGTCCTGGCAAGACAAACAAAGTCAATAATTACTGAATCAGTGAATCATTTAGAAAATGAATTATGCTCCAATTAAGGGTAAATGATAAATGGACTGTACTTGTATTTCTCTTTTCCAGTCTTCCGACCACTCAAAGCTCTTTAACACTACATGTCATCATTCACCCATTCATACACTGATGACAGGAGCTACCATGCAAGGTGTCACCTGCTCATCAGAGTTATCTAATCATTCACAGCAAGAACAGCCTGTGGTAGCTATTTGGGGTTCAGTATCTTGCCCAAGGACACATGGACATGGACTAGTGGAACTACCACTGAGCCTCAGTCCCCGGCTCCGATTGATCTGCCATCGGTATTGGTCGTTATTCGTTCTAAATACTTTGATTTGAGGTCTCTTTTAAGGCTGATTGAAAGAGATGATCGATTCTGAATTGAAACATTTTCAATACATATTGCTGCCTGTTTTCTCGCCTGCTCTTTAATTCGCTATGAGAGCATAACAGCTGGACACACACAGGCCCGGTCCACGGCCTGGAGGATCTGGGTCCGTCCACGGTGGACCGGTCTCTGCTGGAGGATCTGGGTCTTTCCACGGTGGACCGGTCTCTGCTGGAGGATCTGGGTCTGTCCACGGTGGACCGGTCTCTGCTGGAGGATCTGGGTCTGTCCTAGGGCTGGGCTGGTTTTAATTTCCCGTACGATATGAATTTTTCATATACGGTCATACGAGGTAACTTCTGTCGCTCTTCAACAGGCAGCAAAATATATTATTCGCCGCTGAGAGCGTTGCAGTCGGAGCTAGTTGTCTTAACTGTATTGAGAGGGACCCCTAGTCATGGTCATAACTTTATAATAACAATTAACAACCCACAACTCACAACTAACGCTCTTTAACAGGGCAAAACACCACGACACAACAGTTTGTGACACATAAACAATTTGTAGCACTAATAATTGTACATTTATAAAATTTCCCCGCCGAACTGCATGCTGGGTAACAACAGTCTGCTAACAGCTGGGAGAGGCTCTGTCGCTCCAGTAACGTTACATTAAAGAACAGAAAAGAGCGACGCAGGATGAACAAAGACTGAACAACAAAAGGTATTTTGGTCAGACACTTATGCAACGCTGATTACCGTAATATGTGTGGTATTTGTTATAAATGTACGTTGGTACATAGAGGGTGATAAGAAGCTGTACATGGAGAGACTTAGGACCCAGGGGAATGTAGGTGAAGGAAACAGGAAGTGACGGAACGGAAGACACGCCACACAAACAGCTGTTCGCCGCTTGCTGGCCGGTTGACCGGCAGGTTCTTTTCGGCGTTAATTAATTAATGCTTTAACGCGGAAAAGAAAATATCGTGATATACCGTGAAATCGACAGAATCTTACAAAATACCGTGATATGCATTTTTGGTCATACCGCCCAGCCCTAGTCTGTCCACGGTGGACCGGTCACTGCTGGAAGATCTGGGTCTGTCCCCGGTGGACCGGTCACTGCTGGAAGATCTGGGTCTGTCCACGGTGGACCGGTCACTGCTGGAAGATCTGGGTCTGTCCACGGTGGACTGGTCTCTGCTGGAGGCCCTACTGGAGTTTGAGCTGAAGGAGTTTCTCCATGATTTCATCAGAATCTGAATCGGTGGCTCCGATGACGAGCATGAAGAATAACTATATAGAAATAGACCATCTTCTCTCTAAAGGTCTTGTTTACTGATGAAGGTCATATAGAAGATCAGGACTAAACTAAGACGGTTTCATAATTAATCAAAAGTTCCTCACAGTAACTTTAAATAATAGATTTAAATGATATTTGGTAGAACACTTTGAGCACTTGCAACAAGGACATGATCCTGAAGATCTTCTTTTGAACCTATTTTTATTTTGAGGTTTTGGTTATTAAAAATGTAAATAAGGAAAATGACTTAACTATACCAAAAGTATAATTGAAAATGCCCTTATTTGGATGAAACTTTCCCCACTGGTTTCTGTGTTAGACTTGTCTTTTCAGAGAAATGTTTAAGTAACAGAACACAAACTGAGCGAAGAATATAAAATTTGACTCATTATCACAAAGAATGGCTCTTACCTAATTCAAATTAAACATTAAAGGAGCACTCATTCAGAGAGTGGTCCAAGAACTGTTTACGAAGGGTGCTCCGATCGGTCATCCATTGATTATCAGCCAATATTTGTTGTAAATACTTTGATAAGTGGTCTCTATAAAGACCGATCACATGACGCAAAACCATTTCTCTACGGGCCAATAAAGTGGCTTCACTGGGGTTGTGAGTCCCTAAAGCCCCTGTTACACAGCGTGTTCAAGGCTGGACAGTTATGCCATCTCGCTGTTCTGCATGAAAAGGTTCAGACATGGAAGGCGGAGTCGGTGCTCCGCTGCTAAGCTGGCAGTTGAGGTAGTCACACAGTTGAATCGACGTCAGTGTAAAAGGGACTGAGGAAAAGTTAGCCGTCATGTCTATGGCTTAAACTGTTAGCCAGTTAGTAACCTCGCCTAACCTATTGGTACTGACGTTAGTAGTTTGTTAGTTAACCACACATAGCAATGAATCCTGGGAGACACGGCAGAAAAAGACATTTTCAGGTGACCAAAGGGTTAAAATTGTCTTTCATGAAGTGAAAACACACTGTGAAAAGATTAAAGTTATAAGACAGAAACACTGAAAACTGTCAGACCGGACGACGCTGTAGTAGCGACCTGTCAATCACAAGGTAGCCCCGTCCTAAAGCATACCCTACTTTATGGTCAATTTGACTCTAAATGGACCATCATGCTGTATTGAAGAAGACTTAAAACTAGCGAATGAGGCTCATGTTTACTGACTTAATAAATCAAGAGAAAAGTAGAGTCATTTTCTCATAGACTTCTATACAACCAGAGGAGTCGCCCCCTGGTGGACACTAGAGAGAATGCAGCTTTAAGGCATTCTAGCATTGGCTTCAATTTTCAGACCCGGAGGTTGGCTCCTGGCACACATGCACTTTACAGCGACACTGTTGTGTTACACATCATGCCGGGATGCAATCTAAAATAGCAACTGGTGCAGCAATATGCCAGCTTTGTTTGATTTAGTGTAAAAAAAAAACAAAGCCGGTGTAATGAGTGGTCTTCTTTACAGCAGTATTGCAGGATCTCTGTATAAAAGGAGCTTATAAGAGAGAGTGTCTCTAAGAGAGAGGGTGGACTATGTTGTCATTGTCAAGTTGACAATTCATGCTACTTCGTCATCTTCACATTTTTATACTTAAATAGATAATGCTACATGATGAATAAAAGGCTTCAAATAAACCCTGTGATCTCTGATTGGTATCGGCCAACACTGCTTCCAGCGTTTGGTGATCAGCCCCTAAAATCCTGATCGGAGCACCCTTACTGCTTAGCCTAACAAAGCCATAGCCTTAACTGCTGAGTAAGAGCCATACATTAGGATAAAAAACAGCTGAATGCTGACAATATTATATGCAATGGCTTGATTACTGCCATAAAGGTAAACCTAAACTGTCCATTATACTTGTTTATTGCTTTCTAACATTGTGTTCATACTAGTGCTGGGCAACGATTACAATTTTTAATCGCGATTAATCTCATTGTTATGCGCAAAATTCAATAATGAATTCAAAAGTAGTATATTGTGCACTTTTATTTTAAAAGTACTGCTATATGCACAAAAGTGCAATAACATTTGGTTTGCAAACACTTTAAACAAATAAGGTTCTTTTTAATTAACAGAAGTATTCCCTTTACACAGCAGCAGTCAAAATATTTCTTGTATATGATATACATTTTATGAAATCAACACAACAAAAAAAGCAATGTGTGTTGAAATAATTTTCTATGAATAATTTAAGCCACTATAATTGAATCGAAACTCTTCCCCAGATTGGACTGCTTAGTACTTGTTGTGGAAGTCCCAGATGTCAGGAAACTAAACGCCGTCATGTCTGGTTCATAACAGTCCGGAGGAGCTCCGTGGATTTTATCGAGCTGTATTCACTGTGTCTAGTGAGCCACACGTCGGCTGTTTACTACAACTGTATGAACACTAAATAAACTGATTTTGCTGTGATTTAACTGTAATAAACAGACAAAAAGGGACTCCAAAATATCTACGTAATGATGCAGATTAAAAAGTCGGAATTCATATTCTTTTAGTTCTCTCTGCAAGACGACAAGCAAATAACCTTTAAAATACTTGTTTTCTCAACGGAGTCTGGATCGATCGGTGCTAGGCTAAGCTAACATTGTAGCCGCTCCATCAACATAACGTCATATAGACGTAAATACGGCAGCGTCTATTCATTGTTTGTACCATATGGTTTACACACAAACATTTATACACATAGTTTGGTCCGGTCTCCACTAATATGAGGTATCGTAGATTCTGGGTGAACACAGACGGCTACAGTATGCGTTTCCTGATTCAATGTCAGGACGTCAGTGATGACAGGAGGAGCATCTCAACACTGAAAGGCTATCGCGCCACAGCGCCCACCCCAAATGCTCTCATTGGTTGAGACGCGTGATGACGCCCATCCCAAGCCAATCCTGATCAACATCCCACTCCTCCTGTGACCCATGGTCTGTCTGTCTGTGTATTCAGAGCCAGTGAGCAATGGACTTTCAAAATAATATATATATATTTTTTTTTTAAAACTGCGTTAACGCGCGATAAAATAATTGTCGACGTTAATTAATGAATGCGTTAACACGATAATAACTCGTTAACTTACCCAGCACTAGTTCATACAGATCGACAGTAAGTGAGGTAGATCAAAACTGAATGTGGTGTGATTTTCCAGAATCAAAATAAACATTTATAATTGACAGTATGGTTAATAAGTTAATGGTTCTCCTTAGTTTTCATTTACAAATAAAAGGTTTAGATAACATGACTGTTTGTGATATGCTGTTTCATATACACTGTTTACTGCAGTCATGGGAATGAAAACTACAAAAATAAGAGTAGGGTGGTAAAAAAAACAATAAATATAGTTCCTTCAATTCTCCTTTAAAAAGTGAATGACGATACTTTCATTGTCTAAGTTTTCTCGTTGAAATGTTCTGCAGAGGGGAACTGGAAAATGAAAGCTGTAATTGGCTTCTTCTGAAAACTAGTCCTTGTCTAACTTTTGACGTCCCACCTGTTTTTTAATGGCCTCCAGATCTCTGTCACGTACAAAGTCTTCTCTCAGCTGTACCCTGGTCAGTCTGGTGCTTCGAGGGTCTGAAAATAGTTGGAAGAAGCTCTCCTCTGGTTCAAAGGTACTGTCTGTGTGGACCAACTCCATATATCTGTTTAAACAAAAAAGGAAACAACATATAAACAACTGAAATATTTTGACAAACATGGGGAATTTTGACAGATGGAAATTTCAGAAATTGGGTAACCATCAATGGACTCGGTTACGTACGTGTTGACCAGCTTGTCGCAGATTTCGCTGGGAAGGAAGATGTCCGAGTGCAGACTAAGCTTGCTCCTGAATCCCTGGTAGCACATGGTCTTCCTAAGGTTCCTCAGGCAGAAGATGGTTGCCAGAGTCATGAGGCTGTCAGGGTTGTCTCCTGCTTTGGCTGCCATGTTAGCCTCTTCTTCTCCTGCTCAGATCAATGACCTTCGGAGGCTTTCATTGAACACAATAAAGGGTTAGGAGAAATGTATTTGCACAGGAAGCTTTTTCTGGTGGGAAACAACAAAACAGTTCCACTTAACATTGTGAGGTACATAATTAATATTTACAATGTGAGGATTGAATAGAAGCGTTGAAAATGTTTCATTTTTCCACTATCTTTGACATTCATTGGAGTAAAACATGAATGTTTAGATGAATAAATATTGTTGTTATGTAATATTTTCTGTGTGGTGGACCTTTTGCTGGGACCATGTGACAAACTAAACTAACGCTGAATGCAATGAGGATTATACACAGAGTAACAGACCTGGCAATTAAAGTAACGCTCATAACATTCAAGTCATTACACTTATGTTCTATGACTCGTACTTTATTTTCTGTTTGTACGAAATACAATTGTAACGTTAGACATATTTCTTTCAGAACAGCTTACCGCCACAATAACCTGAGCCGATATTGTCATTATTAGACCACCTCTTTGCAGGCATTGCACACCTTTAAGGCTGAGGACAGTTAGCCGTCATGCCTATGACTGACACGGTTAGCAACTAATGTTGGCTACTTTGTAACAACTTGTGTCAACATTAACATTTCAAACGAAATTATCTTATTTATTTTACGCTGAATGGCTCCTGCTGATAAGCTAGTAACCTCGCCTAAACTATTGTTACTAATTTGTTAGTTACCACACGGTAGAGACACGGCAGACTGTTACAAAGTTAGCTAGCTTCCTAGCTAGCTACACTGTACAACGATTTACTTTTACAAAATTAACGATAGATAGTCACTGACAAACAGACAACAACTATACGCCTACTCACTCACAACAACTGAAAATACCAAAAAGCTACACTTGTTGTTTTAAGTTAAGCTTCAACTTGCCAACACGGTGTCACCAATGCATTTCAGCCTCTAAATTAGCTTGTGGCTAACGATGACTTTCCCTGCTATGATGTTAGCTAACATAGCTAGTGGGGCTAGCGCTAGCAAAGCGCTCTGTATGCTGGAAATACAGACAACAAACAGTAGTCAGCTGTGTTTGAGCGCATGGCTTATCAACCAGTGCTTTACCTTAGCTTTCGCCAAGGCTATATGTCTTGATGACGGCGAGAAATTGAGTTATTATCATTAGTCTTCACTCATCTGATTTTCGTTTTCGTCCGATGTCAACAAACAGACTCCTCCTCCTACTTCTTCTTCTCCTCCTCCTTTCCTCCCGTCTCTTCCTCCTGTTCTTCCAGTGTTGGTTCTTCCTCTGCCTCTTCATCTATTCCATCACTCGTCCATCCCGTCCAATGTTTGTACTGATTTAATATATTCTAATTAATATGTTACCTGTCACGAATGAATATCTCGTACTCCTGTTTTTATTAAGTTGATAAGTAATTCTAGTCATTATTGGTAGTTGTGCTAATAGTATTACTTTTACTGTCAACTTGGAATGAAAACCCAATTTATTAGGTTTGATGGAATTTTTTCTCAAAATTCATCTTTATAAAAATGTAGTTCCTTTAAATATTTCTGTTTAGGCAAACTGATTTAGGATATATTCAATTTTCTTATCAAAACCATTTAGAAGAAACCTAAACGGGTTCTAGTTGTTTTCCACTCTCCTTGTTTGTTTGTGCTTTTATGCAATTGTGTGCCAAATAGTTCCAACCTTGCAACATGGTTTATTCTGTGTTATAATTCTCTGAATCTTTACTTATATGCAATGATAGAAATTACTTTTTCAGTTCCAGATGGGCAACATGGGCCCCATATCCCAGGAGCCCTAAGCCCTAGATAGATTGTATACGCTAATTTGGTTAATTTCAAATTTGTTATAACAATTTGCACCACTAAAGTATGATAACTAAGGCAGATCCTGCAATATTACCTGATGTGTGGCCCTGTTTCAGGCTATGTCAATGGGGGCTCAACAGCAAATTTGCCCCCATGGGACCCCCTTCATCCAGCCATGGCAGTGTGCTCTGCAGAGCTTTCCTTCAACAGTGTTTCAGTGAAGCAAACTGTTTTGTTTATTTATTTATCTAATCAATGTTAACCTTTAAACAAACAAAGGCTTATTTGGTGTCTTATTGCACTGCAGTAACAGAAACATCAGACGGTCGTATCACACAGGGTGTGTGTATTCATCACCATGTGTTTTCAGGCAGCATGACATGCAGTGGCACTGCAGCTGTCGAGGGATGGAAGTGAGTGACTTATCCTTGGTCCAGTTCAAAAACTCTCAATAACTACTGTCCCAGATCTAGCACTATCATGCACCATAATCCTGACATTTCCACTTGTTCACAAAATAGAGAGGAAGAACAGGGCTGGAAATTGAGCATCTGATCAATCACAGGGCCTATCATCCTTCTAGTTACAAAAACATTCATCCTCACTGACATGACATACATATACTGAATGTTTCTTTATGATGTGTATGAAGTGAAATGTACTGTGTATTCAAACCCAAGATTCAAGTTTGTTTTATAGCTGTACCATAGATCAAATTGACATGTGTTGTATCTGTATCTTGTGTGTGTAGAATGACTAGTCTTCAGGGGCAGGGCAAGAGGGGTGGCCGGGGGGGGCACCCCTGGGATCTGATAGGCACCCTCACCAGCGTTAGAAGCACTTGTCTGGTAATCTGTCCACAACCGTAGATCTGTAGTTTATGTGTGAGAGGCACAAACCGGGTTAGCCAGGGGTCAACCTCTTGTACAGTTGGTCATGATTGAGGAGTGGTGAGAAAATTTGGCTGAACTACAAGCTAATTTCAAGCAGAAAACACACATTGCCTGTATTGCTGGATGAACACCATACGCCAATGCAAATGTATGTGATTATGTGCACAGCACAATACAATAATTTAGTGAGTAGTTCCTCTTTAAAATCACACAAGCCTTGACGATCTTGAGCACAACTAAAGAGATAGATATATCAACGAAATATGCACAGGCTCAGATTCAAGCATTGCATATATCCAGATAGTGAGTCACTCATATCCCCTTCGTCTTTTCTTCTTACATTGATCATGGAGGCTGTATTTACTTACTTATAATCTGCTCATACTCAAAGCCTTTCTGCCCTCTAGTGGTTGTCAGAAGTTGTGTCCTTTTCTACAGACAACACACTTGCAGATGCATAACGCACATAAACATAAATAATACAAAATAAGACTAAAAGGCAAATACATTACAAAGAAAACAAGTCCATCAGAAGTAGTAGGGAAAAAGCTTTTATAAATCCAATGGAGTTTTACTTTTTTTGTTGTTCAGCAAACTAGGAGAGTTGAGAAGAGAGGTAGAGGTAAAACCTTAGGGAGTGAGTTATAGAATTTCTGTTTATGAATGAAACATTTGGCAAATAAAATAATGGAATGAATCAAATGTTCAAGAGCACCTTCATATCAATTTGCACAGTAAAATATCTTCAAAGTTAAAGGAATAAACAAAACTGGTGACTTCAAAAAAAGGTGATGACACCAAACAGTGACGCTGTGGAGCAGCTGTGACAACAACCCACCGACAGTCGTTGTTCGGAAAAGGTCTATTTATAACTGCACATTAATTCAAATTCTATCTGTGAAACTTTAATACACAAATGTAACGTTGTGTTTAGAAAACCCGCGCTTGCTGCCAACATATGAGCCCACTTGTGACTCTGGATGGTGTCTGCCTAGTTGTTGTGAAGACGGAAGTGACAGGAGGACTTCCCTCTGGCCAGTTCTTCAGTCTTTTTGGAAACAGTTAAAGGAATACACCGCCGCCTGTCAAGACACCATCATGTCATCTGCGTACAGAAACAGGTGGGACACCGTCAATCTTTGTTTTTGCATGAGATGCAGCACACACGGACATTCAAAAACCTGCGCTATATCCTTTACCGTAGCAGCTAGCACCCTAACTGCAAACTGGTATTAACTTCAGTCTAGCTAGCACAGATCAAACTCAGTCGAGTGTGAGCCAACAGAAGCATTTCATTCGTACATGCTGGTCTGACTTTACGTTTAATGTCGAAAACAGCGAGACTTCGTGGTGCTTTACCAGTTAACTAATATAGCAACTTCAACGATTCAAGTAGCTATGCTAGCTCCCTGTTAGCACATCAGCTGACACATAACGTTAACGTTACTTCCTTTTAGCCCTGACTGGCTAACAATTAGCTATCCAGCTAACTGCTAGCTGTATTTGCTGACACCGTAAGGGAGACAATGCTACTTGATTCCAGTAATTTGTCATCCTGATGTTGAATTAGCTAATGACAAATGAACCGAACCATGCTTCCTTGGAAAACCATGAAAACTCATTTCATCATGTTTTTCATGTAGTTGCCTTTTTCTCTGCTTCAGTGTATTTTAATCCACGTTGTCAATATCAACTGTTGTATGTAAGAACTTATAACATTGGTTGATTCTTAATGTATCATGTTTAAATTATTCGTTATTCCTCAAATATACCATCTTCCCACAACTCATAATATACACAATTTACTTTTATACTCAACAGGATTTGTTCTGGCTAGAAATGAGGCAAAAGTGGTTTCTCAAATGTAATCATTACATTACATTACAGTCATTTAGCAGACGCTTTTATCCAAACGACTTACAATTCAGATTCTATCACATCTCTAATCGTTTGAAATATGATTTAAGAAGGAAAAGGCAAAATTAATGCGAACAAGGCTGCAGATGCACAAGGCCCCATAGAGAATCTCATACCTACAGTAAAAAAATAATTTTATTAAAATGAGGTTTGTCGATCAATAATCACAAAAGCTCCTCATATTCAGCCTTTGAATGTTAAAGAGGAGTTGATGGTCCTCTGGCTGCAGTGTGTGCTGCAGCAGCTATGAGCCATACTAATGCACCTTCTAACATGGTGTCCACTGTGGGCAGAGCATTTCCTGAACAAGTGGTTCTAATGCTACTGCTGAACTGGGGAGAGTTTGTGTCTCTTGGTTGGGGTGCTGACGAATAGAAAAACAAACTGAGCATGAAGTCCATGTTTATAGGTTTATTTATCACATGAGAGAGAGTGAGATAAGGGAGAGGAACAATGCTCAATACAAAGCCTTTTTTCAATTTGAAAATGTAAAACTATTTCTGACTAAAACAGCATTTGTGTAATATGGAGAAAGTAATGTGTTCTCTGGTAAGAGATATATGTATGTATGTATATGTATATATGTATATATGTATATGTATATGTATATATGTATATATGTATATGTATGTATATATGTATATGTATGTATATATGTATATGTATATATGTATATGTATATATGTATGTGTATGTATGTATGTATGTGTATGTATGTGTGTGTATGTATGTGTATGTATGTATGTATATATGTACATGTGTGTATGTATGTATGTATGTGTGTATGTATATGTATGTGTGTGTATATGTATATGTGTGTGTGTGTGTGTGTGTGTATATGTGTATATGTGTATGTATGTATGTATGTGTGTGTGTGTGTGTGTGTGTGTGTGTATATATATATATGTGTGTGTATATATATATATGTGTGTGTGTGTGTATGTGTATATATGTATATGTGTATGTATGTATGTGTGTGTATATATGTGTGTATATATGTATATGTATATGTGTATATGTGTGTATATATGTATATGTATATGTGTGTATATATGTAT